TTTTCAATTCCAGGCTCAGCTATGTACCTGTGCATTACACATGCCCTGCAATGCAAAGCATTGTCTGGTCTCATCTTTCCGGAGCTCATGTCTGGTGTGTTAAGAGCGACCAACAAAGCATGTGGCTGTAGGTCCAGGGCACTGTGGAGATACGCTTTGCATTGAGAGAATGGGAAAAAGGTATTTTTCCTTATAGTACATGACCTAATAAATGAAACTGTCCCTTTTCCTAGAATTCCTTATTCTCCTCCTCATCTTACAAAGGGAGAAATATACCGTTAATTGAACTGAGTCTTATATTTAACATTTTTAGGGTAATTACCTTCCTTACAGGAGTTAGTTGTTTTTGTTTGTTTGTTTTGTTTTGTTTTGCTGTTAAGAGAAGAAATGATTCACTATAAAAATTCAACAAATTAAGCAGCTAGTTCTGCTTTTGAAACTTCAAACTTCAGGATTGAATTCAGCATTTCTAAGGACAGGGACACCCCACATCCCTTTGCTGCTTTCAAGGTCATGACTGGGATCAGACAGTCCCCATTTTTTGATACAATTAGAAGATAAAGACCTGTCAGTTCTCAGAGAGCTTAGCCCAGAGCTCCGAGCAGAAGTGGGTCAATCGCCCTGCTCTGTTATCTGTCTAATTAATGATGCATTTAGTTCTAGACTCATAAATCTACTCACCCGCTTCCCCAAACACCTTACATGTACAGAAATTCCCCTGCTAGGTATTACAATTTCCAAAAGGGTTCTGTGAGAATGGCCCTTAAAAATCTCAAAATAATATTTTTAAAATATATTGTCTTCCTCCATAATTACTTGTCACCACTCTTCTGCCTAACTACTAACCATGCCATTTGCCTGAGATCACTGTGTTAATTGTTATACTGAGGGAGAAATGGCTGCATTCTCTAAGCATGTGTTTGAACAGTAAAGAAGGAAAATGAATATTCATTTACTCCCAAGGATTGTGTGAGCACATATCTCCTACGTATTTCTGGTCTGAACCACTTGGGTACCACACACTGCTATTGCTTCTTACCCTGTTCCCTTTATGTTGCTGTTTGGCATTCATTTGTATGCAAGAGTCTGTTTACCAGCTTCCTGTTATTAATTATGGAAAACAAGTTTTTGTAGAATGTTAGGGACACTCCTGTAACTCCTGTCCAAACACTTCAGGCCACATAGCGACCATTCCCTTAATGTGTCCATAAAGCTGGAAGCTCAGTTGAAATACATCATTTCTTCTCCTACCCTGCAACTTCTGATCTCTCACTGAAATGAAAAGACAGAATCTGGAGAAAGCTTTCTCCCCTGTTAAGAGACAGAGAGATGTAAATTTACAAACAGGTTGTAAAATTTAGTTAAATTAGTAAAGAACTAAGAGACAAAAATTATTCTAATGTAAATCTACAAAGAGAAAAAAATACAGATTTGATGCTTGACATATTATTACAAAGTTTTTCTTATGGAGTCATCTGGTCTCTGTCTCTCTGTGTGTCTCTCGGTCTCTGTTCCTGTCTCTCTCATGCTGTCCCCTCCTTCTGCTCTCTCTCTCTAAAAGATAAACAAATATATTTGCATACATTAAAATCATAAAGAACTCAAAACATCTGGAAATTTTAGAAGCAAAGCAAAATAGTCAGGGAAGAAAAAAAAATCCATTTTTAAAATGCAGATGTTTAATTGTGCTGTCAGTTTTGTTACAAGGGAGTAAGAGCAGAAATAACCAGAAGCCACTGATGGAAAATTAAAATACTTTCAGGATCCTTCGCCAAGGTAAAAGCAGTGAAATTGGTAACACAGTATGGACAGGGCCTTTCTAGACTGAGGTCTGAGAGTGTTGCCATGTGTAATTTCATAAATTAGCCATTTCCAAACCTAAAAAAAAAAATAAATCTTTTTCATTAAAGCTCAATAGAAGTTTTTCATACTCCCCTTCCCTTTGGTCATCAACATCAGTCAGTTATTCGGGGTTTGGCTTTCATCAGTGACAAGCTCATTCCCCCACCCTTCGAGCCCCCTTTCTAAGACTCTGTGATAGTGCTGAGTGGCCAGAAATTACAGATGCAGGACAGCTGACAAATGACTGCCAGGCCCCTCCCCCAGGGCCTTGGCAGTCACAGTTCCTGCCAGAACACGCCTGAGCACAGCGCGCCTTCTAGACAAAGACACAAAGATTCCATTTTCTCAAGGAAAATAGATTTCATGTGTAAAACACTGGTGAGAAAAATTGAAAGCTGACACATATGTGCAGTCTCTGAGAGGCGGGGCTCAGTTGCTCTGAAGATTGAAATTTTGCTCAAATGCCTAAGAAATGTTATTTAACCTAAAAGTATTTTCAGTCTGTAAAAAACGACCTCCAATGGTAAGATATTTTATTTGCTGAAGTACGTGGTTAAGAAAGCAAAAGAATGAGCTTAGTAAAGAGATCCTCATCATAGACGACTGTTGGGTAATTAAACCTTATTGAATCAAAGGGTTTAGCAAGATAGTATTAAATTCCTGTGAGTATGTTTCTTGTGAAAAGAATCTCCTCCTAGCAGCCCCAGGATATCATTACTGGAGAGACAGCAAGTACTTTATTAGACATGAAACCTTGGCGTCTCAGTTTTGCCAAGCGTGCAGGTTTCTCGTGGGCCCAGAGCCCTAGCTTCCACAGCGAAGGCCATCTGCTGGGCCTCCCCATCATGCCAGGCAATTTGTAGGTGCAAAGGCCGGTTGGGAGACAAAGAAAGACTGTCTACTGAGAAAGATTCTGCTTTTCTTCCTGTCTGCCTGGACTCCCATCCCTGCTACTCAGAAGATGACTTTGGTGTTTGCAGAAAACTTAGTTTAATACACCTAAGAAAGTGAACCCTTAACAGGTTAAAACATAATTAATAGTAGCTGTCAGGGGTAATAGACCAAGAAATTGCACTGGGGATGTTTTAATTAAAAAAAAAAAAGTCGTACAACAAGTTTAAAAAGAAAACAAGCACATTTTGTACTTTCAAGGTATAAGAAAGTATATTCTTAAATTTCTTTAAAATATAAAAACATCAGAGTAAGAAGGGCAGAGAGACAGAGACAGACATAGAGAAAGAGAAAATACTTCAGAATCCAAAAAGAGGTATCATAATGAGAGGATAATGAGACTATTGGGTAAATATTTTTAAATTTTTATTTATTTATTCATATCCATTACAATTTATTTACTTTGTATCCCCTCTGCAGTCTTCTCCCTCATCTCCCCCTATGCCCTTTCTCTAGTCCCCTGATAGGGGAGGACCTCCTCCCCTTCTATCTGGCCTATCAGTTCTCATCAAGGCTGGCTGCATCATCTTTCTCTGTGGCTTGGCAAGGCTGTACCCCCTCCCACGAGGAGGTAAATCTTAAGACTGAAAATATTTTATATAACCTCTTTATTCACAAAAATACCCATTTCAGGACGCTGTAGGGATCATATTCAGTCTGGGGAGAATACTAGCCTTTTAAAGGATAGTTTTAATACTAGCAAAATTGATATTTCACATGTGCTATTAAAATACCCTGCCTGAGTGTAAATATACTTGTCAGAAACAAACAGCAGTTTGGTTGGAAGCATAGTTTTTATTCTCAGTGCAGCCACCTTGCAATCTTACTTAGAGACCATCTCAGTTCTCCTGCCCAGAATATAAAGAATTTTGCAAGTTGTAACTAACTTTCAGAGAGTAATCCCTGAAGGAAACTCTCTGTTCTAAATGTTTAAGTGCTGAGGGGAAGGCTGTGACACATTGTGTGAAAGACTTAGATGTACAGTATGCTAGGCAGTTCTAGCTCGCTCCTGCGTTCGTCGACACACCCAGTCTACGGCTCTGTGTTGAGAACACTGCCGCACAATGCATAGTATTTCCACATTCTGCAACCTGACGTTTAAAGTGTCTTAGACTATACACCACACGTTTCCTCATTCATACTGACTTTGTCTTCTCTTGACCATTACCCTACTAATGGTACTGGATCCTGTAGTGACACAGTCTGAAGTAAAGTGGCATAATGGGAAACTTGCAGTTAGAAAGCCAGCCTCTTCAGCCCCTCCCCATGCCCGGGGGCCTCTGCCAGGAGGACATGCAGAGGGGTCACTGCTCTGCCTCCCACTGCCAGCCAGCAGGGTCATTCTCCTCTCTTTAGCTACATCCTAAGAGGCCCCAGAGCTCAGCTCAAGAAGACAGTGAAAACAGGCCATCCCAGGAAGAAGACAAGCTGTGAGGTTTAAAAAAAATCATTGAAGAAAGTCAACCACAGTTTTTAGAAATAAAAATAATAGAAATACATTTAAAGAAAAAAAAAAAAAACATACCCTAAGTAAACCCAGTAAGTCAAAATTAAAAAACTTTTTTTTTTTTTTTTTTTTTTTTTTTTGGTTTGGAGGATTCTGTTTTCTTTTTTGTCTTTTCTAATTTGCTAGAATTCTGTAATTCAATATGGAAAGCACATTCAAATCACATTATTGAATCACAGCATTTTTTTTCCTTAGAACTTAAAACTTGAACAATGACCACAGGATGAAAGAACAGTATAAAAATAGCATGCTATCACTAGGTAAGCTTGTATCTTCAGAAAAATGAGATGATAAAAAACAAAACTAATATGTTTAAGATATTTTAGAATACAAGTAGATGTTGTTGATAATTGAAACATTTAAAAATATTTTAATGCTCTTGGTATAGAAAATAAATTCCAGAGAAAACTAATCTTTAAAATTGATTCATAGGCTGGAGGTAGCTAAAATCCTGAGCTTGGCTCTACCAGGGCCTCTTGTTATTGGAAAAGCTATATTTATGGCAGTCGAGAATTTCAATGATCTCTGGTGCCAAAGTTAATCATGAAGCTGGCAACATGCAGCATAGCAAAAGCAGGCAATCCCTGTGAGGTGCTGGGTGGGAAGTCACCCCTTTAAAAGGGTAAGACAACACTGTGGATAATCTGCTTGACCTGGCCTGAGTTCAAAAGAAGGTCTTTTTTATTTTTGTTTTGCATAGGCTCTGGACACAAGGGCCAGCAAATCCATGAAGGAGACTGAAGGGCAGCTCCATCTGCATGTTCAGTGGCAGTCGGGCAGGAGCCGCAGCAATGAACACATCTCTGAGGAACTTAAAAAGGTTGGTTTGTTGTACCCTAAAATTAGAAATTGACTAAGGTATGTCATTTCTTTGAGCTCACTGGAAACACTTTGTTCTTTCTCTGACAGAGAGTTTCCTCTCTCTTTTTGTCCTGTGTCTCTATGCACAAGCCCCAACATTTGTGTTTCTGTCTTCCTCTCTCTCTCTCTTTCTGTTTCTCACATCTTCCCTCCCCTTTCTCCTCCCTCTTCTTGCTCTGGTTAGCAGATGTCTTTTATAATTTATGTTGTTTGCTGTCCTTTCATTACATCTAAGCTGCTTCACTTAGGCAAGCCAGCAGCCAGAGCACCTAAGCACACAGGAGGAGAGTGGTCGCAAGCGCTGCTCCCACTGTCTCATCAGGGCAGCTGTAATAAGCATCCTGGTGCCGCTGAACGCAGAGCTGCATTCAAATAACAGCTTTCATCTTCACTCTTTTTAAATATAAAAGTAACCCTTGGAGCCCTTTGAAGGACACAACCAAACAACGTACACAAGGAAATACATCAGCAAGGCTTTGAAAAACATGTTTGTGTAAAATCTGTAAAGCATTGTACTATTTTTATCAAGAAAGTCATCTAGGTAAATGGTGGCTTTTAATAAGACACATGACAATCTCAATTATGAGGGTCATTACTACGAGTTCTCTGTGCTATTTTATGTTCCCAGCAGGGTGATTTCTCTCTCTCTCTCTCTCTCATTCTTACATCAAAATTCTCAGAACTGTCTACAATTTTCTGTGTATAATACATTCCCAAAGCTATAATAGTTTTTGCTTTGTTTGCTGGTTTGTTTGGTTTTAGTAAAACCACCCCTCCACACCTGGAACCAACCAACCAAACAAACAAACAACAACAACAACAACAACAACAACAAAAAAAAAACTTGTGTTAAGTCGGCAGAGAGACTGCAGCTAGAGGGTTATAGGTGAACTAGAGGGATGAAATGAAAGGTTGAAGGCTATAATTTCTGCTTCTGTGGTGGCAACAAAATCAACTGCCAGAGTAACGTGGCTGAAGACATGGCTACTGGAGCCTAAAGCCTGGAAGAGCAGACGGCCCCGGTGGTGGTAAGTCAGACCGCACCATTTCAGAATGTACTACGTGGCATGGTGGGGAGTTCTCACCACGCTTTACCCACAAAGTGCCCGTGGCCCAATACCTGCGACCCCACTTCACAGTTGATTGGATCCCAGTTATTGACAGGTGCATACTTGATTTTCCATCCTCCTGTTTCCTTACTTTAAAGCAAAACAAAGCAAAAACAGCAGTTACCAGCCCCCAGACTTACATTCCATGATGAGATCTCCTAGAAAACAAAAATAAAACATAAAAAAATTAAAAATCAAAGCACATTTTTTCAAAGACACTGCATCTAAAAGACTCCTCAGTGGACCAGAGGCACATACGCTGGACGTACTGGTGGACACTGTAATTCTCAGTTCATAATTTAGCAATATCCTTGGTTTCATAGACTCTAACACAATTATATAAATGCTGGAAAGTGTAGAAACTGTACATTGTAACTCATATCATCAGGTGGAAAGCAGGCAGTCCTTAAGGTACCTCCTATGACATCGAACTAGCCTGAAAGGGCCATCAATTTAATTACATATTTGCACATGTATACATCAAGAAAACACACACTTAGAGAGAAAGCTGTAGAAATGTTTGAGGAGAAACATACTTATCAAAATATATATACAGCACATAGGAATTACTGTCCAACTTAAACAAGAGTGTATGTTTAAATTGCCCGAGGATATTGTTCACACAGCAAACTGATTTCAGGCTTTTATCTTCTGACATCTATATACACATGAAACTCAACAAAATTCTACTCATAATTGAATATTTTCTTTTGGACACATATGCAGCTTCAATTTGTTTGTTTTTTTTCTGTTCTGTTCTGATGGTTTTTGCTCACATTGATTGCTCAGGAGGATACTCAGAAGAAAGGAAGGTAAGTTAGTACGTAAATTGTATTAGAACTTTGGGAATTCTTTTCTCGTTTCAGCATTGTGTTTTGTTTTGTCTTTTTAAGCTGGGTGAGATGAAAGCCCATTTTCTCATTTATGAATATCCCCATGAGAACTGGCAGCTGTGGGAATAAGGAGGAGAAGCATGACAAACAAACCAGTACATCCTACCTTTAGAAGCATTGTTAGGATTCTGTAGGAAATATAATTTATTCTGAAAGATATGATTGCCATAATGCTTAAAAACAAGATATTAAATATATACCAATAAATATTTATGTACATTCTAGTTTTGAAAATTTTTGTTGATTTTTGAGACGATGTCTTATTCTGGAGCCTAGGTTGGCTAAAAACTCAAGGTCATCCCCCCTCTCTCTCTTCAGAGTGTTAAGACTGTAAACATCAGTCTCAGCATCTGCTTTAATACCCTGCAGGGCAGAGCCTTTCAGAGTCCCTCTGTGGCAGGCTCCTGACTTGTTCCCTGTTTTCTCCTTCTTCTGATGTCCATCCTCTTTGGAAAGGCAGGAGTTTTAAGTTTTGGTTAGTTTCCTCTTCTTTATGGCTGGTGCATTTTCTTTTTTTTAAATATTAGTTATAGTTTATTAACTTTGTATCCCAGCTGTATCCCACTCCCTCATTCTCTCCCAATCCCACCCTCCCTCCCTCCCTCATCTCTCCCTGTCCCTTTCCAAGTCCACTTATAGGGGAGGACCTCCTTCCCTTTCATCTGACCCTGGTTTATCCAGGTATCTTCAGGACTGGCTGCAAAGTCCTCCTCTGAGGCCTAGTAGGGCTGCTCCTCCCTTGCAGGAGGGGGGCGTCAAAGAGCCCACCATTGAGTTCATGTCAGAAATAGTCCCTGTTCCCCTTACTAGGGTACCCACTTGAATACTGAGCTACCATGGGCTACATCCGAGCAGAGGTGCTAAGTTATATATACATGGTCCTTGGTTGAAAAAATAGTCTCATAAAAGACCCCTATGCCCAGATATATTGGGCAGAGTGCAGAGAATCTTATGAAAGAAGCGGGAAATAGTAAGACCAGGAGAGGACAGGAGTTCCACAAGGAGAGCAACAGAACCAAAAAATCTGGGCATGGGGTCTTTTCCGAGACTGATACTAAAACCAAGGATCATGCATGGAGATAACCTAGAACCCCTGCACAGATGTACCTGATGGCAGTTTAGTGTCCAAGTGGGTTCCATAGTAATGGGAACAGGGACTGTCTCTGAAATGAACTGATTGGCCTGCTCTTTGATCACCTCCTCCTGAGAGGGGAACAGTCTTACCAGGCCACAGAGGAAGACAATGCAGCCACTCCTGATGAGACCTAATAGGATCAGAAGGAAGGAAAGGAAGACCTCCCTTTTCAGTGGATGTGGGGAGGGGCATGTGTGGAGAAGGAGGAGAGAGGATCGGGAGGGGAGGAGGGAGGGTACTACAGGGGTTATACAAAGTAAATAAAGTGTAATTAATAAAAAATAATAAAATAATTTTTAAAAAGATTGTATACATTAGTCACCATCCTTGACTTAAATTTTTAATTATACCCCTTAATGAATTTTCTAGCATTCTTATGAAAATTATTTCTTTAGAAAGAAAAATGTAATTTTGAATCAGCACACAAAAGTGTGTAGTTTTTAAAATTAGGCAAGTAGTATGTCTTAATTCCAAAAAGCTTGCCACACTATATTTTGGTTAAGAAGTCAAGCCGAAGGTGTTTTTAAGAATTCAGGGTGTTATGCTTCTACAGATGTTTTGATTGACATGTCTTAAAGATGGCTGTGTCTTCAGTGAAACATGAATATTTTTATGAAATAATAGTCTCTGAGTGGTTCTCCACCAGCAAATGCTATTAGCTGTTCATGCAGGCAGACATCTCACAAACTGAGGCTGCATCTAAGTAAAACAGAAATTCTATAGTCACATGCTTTAAAAAAAGAATTAAACCAGAGTTTCTCTAGTATTAATTTTATGTACTAAAATTATGCTGTATAGTGAATGGCATCTCTAGTCGGGAGATTTGGGAACAGCTATGGGAGGGTCCAATTATATGCATGAGAATGAATTCCAGGGCTATTGGGAGTTAGTAAAGGCACACGGAGAGGTGAAGACAGACCACTGTCCATTTCATTTAGAAACTGGGCTGTACAGTTTAGCCCATACTTCTGAATTGAGAAACTGTAGGGAGATAAAGAATCTTACTCCCCTATCAAAGTGATCACACACAATCCTACGCAGCATCTTGCTTTTCCCAAGAAGATGACGAGCAAAGCTGTACGCTCACCTGGGGCATGAGATATATAACTCAGAATCTCGGCACAGAACAAAACCTTCAGTGCAGACTCCCTGCCAATCTAAACCAATTAGCTATATTTTCTGCATTGGGGTGGAAACTCTTTGGAGGCCTTGGAAATTAGAGTGGAGCTTTGAGTAGAAAGGAGGGAATTTCACTCCTCTCATGGGGCCATGCCACTGTGATGGAGGCTCTCATTTCCCATGTGGGTAACAGAAATTATAGTAACTATGGCCAGTTTATATTGAGTGAAGAGTATGTTATTTTTCTCTAGGTCAGGGTCACTCATCCTGACCTCTACTGTTATTTTAATCCAGATAATTCTGTTTATGGGGAGATTCCTCAGCTCTGGCTCCTGCCTGCTGGGCATAGTTCCACCCTCCTCGCATTCATACAGACCCAAAGGTCCTTCTGAGACAAGCTCTCCCTGGCTGAGAGCTACCTGCTCAGATATTTTGGGTTTCTTCTTTGATCTATACATAAAATGAGTTATATCAGATCTTCACAATGACTTTAATAGAATTTTTATATGTCCAGCAGTTTTCTGAACAGCTATGACACAAATGTCCCTGCAAGACAGTATTTTATCTGTTTATGTAAAACTGTTAGTCCAGCTGTGCGTTCATCACCTGCATTACTCACTTGATGACATATGACCATTAAAGGTCAGCGAGTATGGGCTAATACTTAGTGCTTTATTTAAAACTATTCAAAGTACCCAGCTAG